AGATCAGCGTTCGAAACCACCTACGGGGGTATACATCTCATCTTGAATGGCCATTGCGACCAAGTATCCTTCCCTTGTTAGAGGTGCAAAAGTATAAAACTCAGAAATGAAGCGGAGAACGATCCAATGCGTCCTCTTCGTAGTGTTTGCTTTTGAAGACCATCAGTAAAAGTGCCGAGCAAAACACTGTATTCGTTATCTTCTTGATTAATAGCACACTTAGCCGTGCTTGCGATCGTGCAGCTGGCTATTAACAGGGCAACGAACATGGTATCAAGCAAGTACTGAATTACTGCCATGGATCTTGCTCACAGATTAAGTTAAAGGCACAGTTCACGATAACTTTGAGGTACCCTTTTTAAGTTGAAAAGCGGAAGCGTTGACGTAGAGTAAAGCATCGGTGACGAAGAGAGCGAAGAAGTCCGGAGTTACGCAAAAATAAGGCTTTCTAAAGGTAGTGAATTAGAGGCGGTACGAGAATAATATGAGAGAAATGGCATGGAAAGAGTATTAGGACTAGATTTCTGCAATTGCAATTGCGCAAGGAGTGACAAAATCAAGCCTGAATTATTTAAAACTGCCTTCCACAGCCGCCATGGGTCATGACAAGTAGTTCGAAATTCCAAAATGGGAGCTCTCTAGATAGGTAGACTCTTCAACGCCGTTGAAACTCGTCCGCTAAGGGGGTGTGACATTCAACCGATATAACCTCTGAGCCCTTATAACGAATCATCCAAACCGTTTACTGATCTTACAGCGCCACTTATGATATACGGGAATGCTACATATTCATGAGAGGAATGTTTCCCACAAACCACTTTTACCGTGAAATGTGTCTTCAAGTGAAACTCAGAGCAAAATGGATAGTACAAGATGTGTTGGGGGAGGAGTACCGACCACTCTAGTCTACTGGTGTCATCAAATTCAAACCAATTCAGGACAGCTCACGATTCTCAGAAATTTTGAGTACGATCAATTTCGTAAAGTATTGAAGTCAATGGCAAAACCATTTTCAATATGTCTCTTGCACTGGGAACAGATTTGTAAATTGTGTTTTTCTAAACGTACCACTCCGTACCCGCCCTTGCCCAGCGAGTTGTTGGTCATGACGTACTTTTTTGTCAGCTCTGCAGGATATGTTTTTGACGAATTTTCTTCATAAAGAAACACTGAAATCAACCTAATTAGATCGAATTGTCAAATGTGTGATCGAGAAAGTAAGAAAAGTTAGAAACGACGGTGGGCCCCAGATTACTCATTCTTCTTGCCAAGAGAAGTCAACTTATAAACTTTTAAGTTTCCATCTAGGCTTCGTTGAAGATAAAAAGGTGTCAACTTCCAGTGCCGGCACGTTGAGTTTTAATGTGAAGAGCAGCTTTCTGCGACGTGCAAAAAGCCAGTGTTCCTGCTGCAAGTCGACAACACTGACTGAGGTTTCAAAACCATCGTTTCTGGCGGTCCAGTAACCACAATGGGTGCCTGAATTGTGAGTTCGGAAGTTTTTGAGGCCCAGGCTTAAAACTGACCGTCAATGACTGCCTAAAAAAGACTGCTGTCGTTCTTGGGAGCCAGCCATATCCCGTTTCACTGCCTACGCTCCACATACTAATTATTCCGGGCACGTTAAGGGAGAGTAGCAGACACTAATTGATGAGAAAGTACCTGAAATACCACCACAAAGTGCTGAGTCGCAGGTGACTTGCAGGATGACGTTGGCGATACGGGAAGTGGGTGCAGTTCTCATAGTGTTTGGATATGTGAGGCCGATGATGATAAGACCCTCGAATACGCTGATGCATGATTTGCATGATCCCACCATCGTAAACACAAAACTTCGGAAAACAATATCGATGGAGTTTGTTCACGTCAGGCACCGCGATCAAGGGTTTTTGATAGATGTGAAGACAGGGCTGGAATGGAAAACGGAGCGGAACGATTTCTCGGATCCAGCCGCCTAAGATCTGCCACTTTTCAAGGAAATTTCGAAAGGTACTGCCAAGGCAATGACTGCGGTTGCTCGCTGTGAGCTAGGTGAGACAAAGAAAGCTTGGACGGCAGAGAGTCGACAAGCAAGCGCAGCTGTGAAGAGAAGTTGGAAACAAGGAGGGGCTCTATTCTTCCTTCACAAAAGGCTGCGCCTAACTGGAGCACCACTGATGAGCAAAAAAGGAGACAAAGGAGATCACGACGGCGGCAAAAGTCGCTCATTATGTTGATGTCAGCAAAGTGTTCAAAGCATGAAAAGGTGGACGGTGCCATGCTTTTAGGTATCGCAAGAGAGCAGTAAACCCATGTCAGGACTATTTTGAGAAGGCCCACCCACCTCTACTTTGCGCCTTGCCGTTGTGGTACCGCGAAGAAGAGAATCGTAAAGGAAATTGGATGGGCTATGAAGGAGACGACATCTTGCAAGGCAACTGGTCCAAATGACTCGGCAGCCGAAGTGTGGAAATCACTGTGCCGACATTCGGCAGCAATTTGACAAAATTCTTCGATTAGGTTGTTGCAGAAAAGAAGGGAGCCGAGTGTTGCAACAGAGTACAACCATTTCGGATTTAAAGAAGAATGGTAGCGTTGCAGACCGCACAAGCTGCCGCCCAATTCCTCTACTTTGGCAGAGTACGAAGCTGAAATTGACTTTGACTGAACTGCAAACGTCCGCGTACCAGAAGAAGTCCGAAAGAAGGAGAGATAACAGAAGTGGATAATTTGAAACAACATTATTTTGCATGAGAGCCTCGTAAGAACAAATATCAATGCAAAAGGCAATACTGCGAATACTGCATCTTACCTAATAAATCAGCACGGGCGCAACTTATGATATCTCCGCTGTCGAGCGTATATGTGTGAAACTTCCCAACCAGCTTTTTGTTGACGAATGTCCCGTTCGATGAGAGATCAGTTAGAATTGTTCGTCCTTCTACCTAAGCAGTACTCAGTTTCTTAGGCACAGACAAAAGAAAAAGCTTGACAAGCCTTTATAGTGCGCGCCTTACTCGTTCCAAAAGAAAGTGTAGCTTGCTGATAACATTATAAAACCATGGATTCGAATCACGAAGCCCAGCAAAATCGAAGTCTACTTGCTCCGACGTTCCTCGACCACACGTGAATCGCGTCTCTCTTAGCTCTGAAAGTGGTGTAGGATGGTTTCCGAGGACGAATGGAAAAAACACCGTAGAAAAAGGGGTCGAAAACATAACTTTTTAAGACCGCAAGAACCACTATTTCGGTAGCCTTGCACTGCTGCTCCTTTCGAATTAACTACATCCTCAAACGAGCTCTAGGAACCGAAATTCTTATCCATATAGGCGGTAGGAGCTTTGAGAAGTGTGTTAGTGCAAAAATGTATAGGGACGTCAAGAGTCAAGACCTAATCGAACGAACTCAGGATCTTGCGTGGATAGGTCAAGCCCGTCGGTTAGAGGGTTAACCATAGCCAATTACAAAACTGATTTGTAGGCCAAAGCGAACCTCCTCAGTATTTCCTACCCATTGACTGAATTCCTTTTTCGGTAACGATGACCTTTTCAATTTTTGACCAATTTAAGAAGATCCGGACATACCTATCGACGGAACAAAATCCATTAGCGACTCCAACTTAGCATAAGACGGGCATATCAGTGTTGACGAAGACGATGGCACTGAGGTATCTCTGTCCAAAGGTTGTGTATCGTGGGTGTAACTGAAACAATAACAAAATAAACACTAAGTAAAATACAGTGTCAAGTTTCGAAAACAATCTGAGCATCTGAGCTGTGAATGAACTCACATCACATTCACTTCATTCACTATATTATGTAATATTCAGCTTAAAAGAATTGACAGAGCGACGCTGGGAGCGGCAGCATTGCTAGTTCACATAAACGAAGAATTAGGAAATTTTATTCACACATTTTTGTACACTTAGAGGGGAAGGGAAGGCGGCTTAGGTTATACTGTAGTTGCAGAGCGATTCATAATTATGTCTACTACTGCAGTCTGCCATCAAGCCGATACGGAATGGTATGGCACCCCGTCCCGACAGGATCAAAGCGAAACATCTAAAGAGCCTTCCGACAGTCATTGTAAAAACTCTGGCTCGGCTTTTCACGCGGTACCTGTCGCAATGCGGAGTGCCTATTACGTAGAGAACTAGCAAGACCTCGTTGCTGTATAAGAAGGGGGATCCAGACGACATCGGCAATTATAGCCCGATTTGCCTGCTGTCCATAATCTACAAACTCTTCACATGAGTATTCCTTAACAGGATTGTCGATCCGTTATTTCTTACGTTCATCGATTTGAAGAAAGCCTTTGATACCACAAATACGATACCATCTCGCCCGAACCCTCAGTGCCGCTCCCGAGAAAGTCATGCGTCATTTAGAATGGGAAAGCATGGGAGTGAAGGTCGACGGCCGCTACTTTTACCATCTCCGCTTGCAGATGACAGATCGTGTTTACAACACCCAACAGAATTCGACAACGATTGTGGAAAGATCGGGTTACGACCGAACCTAACGAAGATGATGTTCATGCGAAACGGAATGGTACCTGGTCTCCTTTCAAGCTGAACGGAACGAATATCTCTGAATGCTCTAGCTATGTGTATCTANGTCGAGAAGTCAACATGATGAACGACATAGTGAGCAAACTAAAACGCGCGGCGTGGGGAGCTCCTAAGAATATCGAGGAAGCGTGAAGAAAACAAGGAACATCCGGCTCCGCGCTCACCTTTTCGACACTGCTGTCCTTCCTGCTTTGACATACGCCTCAGAGACTTGGACTCTGTGAAAGCAGGATGAGCAAGCAACAGTTAGCGTCATTCAACGCGCTGTGGAAAGAACGTTGCTCGATGCCCGATGGAATGCTGGGCCTATACACGCAAGGGCAGAAGGGAATCTGGATTTCCGAATCCCTTCATCGAACGAAGATCAGGGATGCCGTTGATTACGCCAAGAAATCGAAGACCAGGTGGGTCGGACACGTTATGCGATATAGTAATGACCGTTGGACCACGGCGGTTACGGACTGGATCCCTCGGGACGTCAAGCGAACATCAGGATGGCCGCCAATGAGATGGTCAGGCTTCTCCACAAAAGGAATGCTGGTTCTCGTGTCTCTGAAGCGGGGACAATTCAATAGACCACTCTGGTTTGCGACAGATACGAATGGAGACGTCACTGACGCCCGCTCGAGAAAATCGACGATCAACGGGAGAACAGGTGACCAAGTGATACTACAGTCTGCAAATACAGTATCCTCAATCTCTAGAATATCGCAAGCCCAGAGCAATGAAATTCAAAACAGTAGACTACGCAAGAGCAAACAGCATACGCACAGAGTATAATGACAAAACTATAAAAATAAAAGAAATGTTGGTTCGCTTCATCTTTCAATCAGGCGGACTACCGTCTGATTAAAAAATGGACCTCTTCCATTGAAACTCATTACTGGTCCGGGATTAGTGGACAGTTGGTGAGGGTATATTCATCAACCTGGAAAACAAACAGAAACCTCAAGAAAAACACAAATCAATTAGGCTTATAAGGATTGAAAATCGCAAAAAAAACTTCACCAATGGATGATGCAAGCATTATAGAACAAAAATGTTAAGTGAGGAAGAAAAAACGGACTTGTTACGTATGGTCTTCTATGAATGTAGTGAACTACTATAATATTCAGAATTAAACTGTTAATCGATCAGAGATATGAATCCACCAGAATCGTTATTACTCGACTTCTTTGTATACGCGTTTAGTAATCTGGAGAGCTCTTTAACCCTGTGACGACAGCGCGGCTCAACGGTGAGCCACGCTTTCTTTTTCGCGTGGGACAAAGCGGCTCAACGTAGGACTGCACCCTTTTCATCGGTTGTTCTTGGCGATTATTAGTTTTACTTGGAATCTTTTTGTATTTAATGGCATTGCAATAACCAAATAACACTATACACAAAGTGAAAAACGGGGCTATGAAAAACTGCTGATTTCTGAAAACCACAGATAAATTCGATTCTCTCCCTGTAAATCACACTTTTTGTGCATTTTTCGAAAACAATGCAAATTTATTTTCACATCTACTACCCCTAATATTGACTCGTCTTGCGGGAGCGTAAACACTTCTTTAAACTCGAAATAGTTGTTTGTAACAAATTTTCGAGAACTAGCCCTCCTTTTAACTGAATATCCTCGACTTTCATTAGTGTTTCTTTTCGCCTTTTCGAGTGTCGGACAACCATTATCATGATAAAAGCAAAAACGGCTGCTGAATCCCTGCTTGTGGGCTGCCTACCGAAGTAAATCTTAAAACTAAATCTCAGCCTCCCATGTGTAACACCTTCAAAGCATAGCTTGTAAAAGTTTCACTCTTCAATTTTATTTTAGTCGGGTTCAGCCAAAATCTTTCAAAACCACCCTCCAAATCGTCCACTGGGCTGATCCATTCCAACTTCCAAAGCTATAATGCAGTAGGCCAGACCTAACTAAAGTTGAGAGCTCATAACTACCTAATTTACACCTATTTCAGACTAAATGATGAAAAAAAAAACGCTTGAAAAAAGCAAAAAACGTCCTTATTAGAAAAATGTATAAACCGTAGGAGAGCGCAGCTCAACGGTGATCCGCGGAAGCGGAGGGCTTCGATATGCGTCTGTCTCGCGCGCCAGACACGCAAAAAGGCGCGTTGTCGTCAAAGGGTTGAACTACCTTTTACAGAAAACCTGTAGCGGATTAGTTTATTTTTACAAACGTACCTAACTATTTAGTATTGAATTCATCTTCATATTGACTTCCCCGAACAGCTGGAAGGATGATAGTACTGAGTTGTATATCGTCTAGTCACCGTAAGGCTTGTATAAGTTGCATACGCAATCACAACGCTGCTACGATTGTGAATGGAAGTCGATTGCGAGGCGCACTTCAAGAAACGAGATAGACCATCGCTGGAAGACATACAGTAGCGCTCAAAAGTCTTCGGTCAAATGCTTTGACGCTTTTTCGTTCATAAGTTTTCTCTTAGTGAACCGAATCGCGTGAAATTTGGA